TGTGAATGGCCTGCTCTGTTTACCTGCAGAAAACTTTTAGTTCTGTACTAAACTTTAAAAAAAAAAAGACACCCAACAAAACTGTCTAATTACCACCACATGTGCTTAAATGCACGTGATTTCTTTGCTCTTACAACCAGGTCCTTGACACGATTCTGCAGGGTTCATTTCCCCTGCGGTTCTGACCTGTCTCAGTTTCCTCGCTGATGTGCTGAGGTGGCCAGAGTCGTTAACAAAGATACTTAAGGAAAAACACCTGATCTGGAGCTAATCGTAAGATTTTCTCTGTGCCTTGCTTGCTCTTCTCTTGAGTAGAAATGATGCCTGCCCGAGAAGTTGAAACCTGGTTCATCAGCCTGCGGAAGGGCTGAGTTCTGCTACTGAGGGCAAAAAGCTCCATGACAACGTTGTAGAAAATGCGTTCCTTTCCCTCGCCACATCCTTCTGCACCTGAGGCATCTGGTGCCTCTTCACTCGTTAACAGGAATTCTGAGCAGGCTGTGCATCACTGCTGCATTTTCTGTTGTTAAAGGTATTTTGACTTGCTTTAAAATGTTTTCAGAGCTGAAAGAGCAACTGAACAAAAAATAAAATTTGTTTGTGTGGTTCTAGATGAACAACTTCACTTGCTCGTTTTGCACGTCCATTTCTGTATTGGGTTTGCGTGGCCAGGGCTGGGGGGCGGCTGCAGGGGTGGCTGCTGTGAGAAGCTGCCAGAAGCTTTCCCTGTGTCCGACATAGCCAGTGCCAGCCAGCTCCAAGATGGACCTGCTGCTGGCCAAGGCCAAGCCCATCAGCGACAGCGGTGGCACCTCTGGGATCACAGAGTTCAGAAGGGAAGGGGGGAAACCTGAGCAACACCAGCAGCAGCTGGGAGAGAGGAGTGAGATGACGTGAGAGGAACAACCCTGCAGACCCCACGGTCAGTGCAGAAGGTGGGCAGGAGGTGCTCCAGGCACTGGAGCAGAGGCTCCCCTGCAGCCCACAGAGCAGACCATGGTGGGACAGGCTGTCCCTGCAGCCCTGGAGCAGACCACGGTGGGACAGGCTGTCCCTGCAGCCACGGAGCAGATCACGGTGGGACAGGCTGTCCCTGCAGCCCTGGAGCAGACCACGGTGGGACAGGCTCTCCCTGCAGCCCTGGAGCAGACCACGGTGGGACAGGCTGGCCCC